TGGAAACTTGCAAAATGTATGCCATTATTCAAAAAAGGTGATAGACATTCTCCCTTAAATTACCGACCAATTTCTCTCTTGTCTACTGTTGGTAAGGTTTTTGAACGTGTTATTTTCAAACATATCTATAACTATGTTTTTGAAATTTGTTGTTTTATAAATATCAATCTGGTTTTCTGCCAGGACATTCAACGGTATACCAATTAATTGAAATGTATCATAACATATGTTTATCGCTTGAAGAAAAAAACCATACATGTATTGTCTTGTTAGATTTCAAAAGGCTTTGATAGAGTTTGGCATAATGGTTTGTACATAAAGTTAAAATCCTATGGAATAGGCGGAGAGTTATTGGTCTGGTTAGGATTATTTACATCAAAGGCAGCAAAAAGTATGTATAGATGAGTCTTTCTCGAAATTAGGTTCTATTGATACAGGGGTTCCCCAAGGTTCTATCTTAGGTCCTCTATTTTTTTTTATGTATATCAACGATATAGCTGATACTTTTTACTCAGCATCTCGTCTTTTCGCTCTCTTCAATGCTCTTCCTGTCTTGACATTCAAACTATCCTAAATAAAGACCTTGAATCTTTAAACTCGTGGGCTAAAACTTGGCTGGTAACGTTTGATCCGGACAAAACTGACGTATTTTGATACATTATTAGAATTTGAATTTGACAGGAACATTTTAGACTTTTCATATAGTCATAAGCATTTATGTGTTACTCTCAACTCCAGTGTCAAATGGGGGGGATCATATAGAAGCAGTCTATTCTTCAGGTATGAAAAGAATAAATGTCTCAAGAAAATTTAAATTTCTATTAAAACGAGATGCCCTATTAAGAATTTACCGAACCTTTATTTTACCTATTTTAGAATATGCATGCGAATTGTGTGATGGATGCTCTAGTTTCGAATCAGAAAAGTTAGAAAAAGGCCCAACGTGAAGCCGCTCGAATTATAACAGGTCTCCGATCATATGCTAGTATATATTCTTTAAATTTTGAAACAGGTTTAGAAACATCGTCTGCTAGAAGAAAAAGAAGAAAGCTTCAACTCTTGTTTAAAATGCATGCTAATCAAACACCAGACTATTTATTTTCCCTGCTTTCCTCCACTGTATAAGATCTAGTTCGCTATCCTTTGCGAAACAGAAATGATTATAGAATCTCGTATTTCAGATTATCAATAACAAACTCTTCTTGTATACCGTCAACTCTTCGCTGTTGGAATACCCTCGATAACTCTATTAGGTCATCAGCTTCATTGAATATCTTTAAAAATTCCCTGAAACCCAACGATCAATTTATTCCTCCTTCGTGCTTTGGTAAATGCGACCGTAGGTTAAATGTTATTCATACGAAGCTTAGACACTGTTGCAGTTCTTTAAATTATGACTTATTCCGTGTGAACCTTGTGGAAACCCCTAGCTGTATTTGTGGATATATTTGTGAAAATGTTTATCACTTTGTCTTTCAATGTCGCCGTTATAGTATTGAAAGAAACATCCTTTTTCAGCGAGTAAATGATTTGAGTTTAGAGGTACCATGTGATTTAGAATTGCGTTTATTTGGTAATGAAGACTTGTCGCAATTAATAAGGTAATGAAGACTTGTTGAAGTATGTGTTTGTTGTAAACTTATTTATTTATTATAAGAAATTGCATTATATTTACATGTTGTTAAGCATTATGGAATGGGCGTTTACAAGTTGCAATAACTTGTGCCCAATCCTTTTGTAATTATATTGCAATAAAATATGTTTAAACTTAAACTTAAATATATATTTTGTAATGGGCTCATCACTTTGCTCAAAATGAATAAAGTATGGAAGTCGCTCCGTATACTCATGTCAAGAACAATGCCAATAATTACATTTGCAGAAATGATTTGTCGAAAATATTGTTGATTTTGTCTGAACAGTAACTTTTGAATGCGGAATTTGAATGGCACAAAATTGCAATGATTTATTACAATGCTTTTGTTGTTGTGTTGTTGGTACCTGTAAAATTACAATGGAGACAGCCTGATAAATTTGATGTGTCTTTATTCTGGTCGCAGCTTCAAGTGGTTAGCTGGACAAGCGACAGGTAACTTACTCAGATGCCCCCAATGTTGGTGAGGTTCCAGGAGGGTTATTTACAGTATTTTCTATATGAAGTATAGGTAATTTACCTTTGAGAGGCCTAGGCCTCAACAAAAACATATGTCCAGTCGGACCTTATTGCTAATTGGTCAGATCTTAGCGTGGGTTCGGACAAAGAAATTTGTGAAAAACACCAATCTGGAAGGAAGGTTACGTCAGAGCATCCGAGTCCTAATTGACTCTAACACGGCCGATAATTCTTTTACAAAGAGACGAGGTTAGAGTCTGGGCCGGACCTGATGAGTTCTTAATTGAAATGACAAAAGGGTTTATGAGAATCTAACAGAGTCGCCGAACCGAACAAATAATCTAAATGTGGGAAACGTAAATCTTGTTTGTCAAACTGTTTTAGAGCTCAATTAACGTGGCTAGGTATATGGTTATTTAATTTGGGGATTATTGTTTGTAAAATGTTTTACAAAAATAATCCAAATAGTAAAAAGTTCCAAAATTTCATTGCAATAAAAAATGTAAAATATCAGTATGATATATCCACCTATTATAACAACACTTTTGTGGGGTGTTGTTACACAATTTGAAAAGTAAAAGTTCTGGAGATGTTGTATGGTCCAAATAAAAATTTATTGAAATAACTTCTCTAGGTCGGTTGATGATTTCTGGAGTATCCAAAAACACACCCGTATAGTCCGATGCCTAGCTCCTAACTGATTACCAAACATGTAGAACCGTGATACATTGACAATTAGCACAATTAAGTTAATTTGATCGACAGCTGTCACTTATCTCTCTATTCTGACTGATGAGTACCCGAACAGGTAAGGCAATTAGCCTATGCTTTGTCCGAGACTTAAGTGTCATACTTGGTAAGACCAGTTAATCTCATAACGTAACATAATTAACTTGAAAGGTATAATGTATAAGATTGACACCAATATTACATGAGTTAATCTTACGACAATGAATCAAAGAAGCTACATTTACACATAGAGGTTTTCTTAAAAGGTACAAATGTAATTAAATAGCTTTTAGGTATGAAATTGTTACTGAACGAAATTAAATGGCGAACGTTTGTAAGAGGAAATCCAAAATAATGAATGAGATGAAATGTTAAATTAATGTTCATAAATAGCACTATTATCATAAAATTCTTTATGATAGAATAATGAAATTAATGAAAAAACTTAGAAGGTCGTAGAGGGGTTAGACAGCCTCGTTAGCGTCCCAACAATACTGTATGAGTCTGATCATATAAGTGAGTTGTGGTATCAGTATAACTAGGAGGCAATGACGAGGAAAAGTACGGTATATGTATCATTTTATCATCTACATACATGTAGATATCTGTGTATATATTGGATGAAGCGTGAATAACTAACGGAAACTTTAAGTTAATCACTTCCGTAATTTACTGTCTCGGTGTCCCTCTCTGTTGTCACTTACGTTAATGACACGAGACTTTATGTAAGCTGGTTCCAATCCTGTCTATCCCCTGAACATCATAGGATTAACTAGATACCCTCTCCCCAATTCACTGTTGCAGTTTCCTTTCTACTGGTGAAAAGATGACCCTCAATGGGAAGATTCTTAAGTTGCCAAACACTCGGCAAAGCCTCGTGTTTGGCAAATTAAGAATCTTCCCCCCTCGGGTTGAGATCCCCTTATCTCACTCCCAAGGGGATAAAAGATTTTATTAATCCTCGGGATAAGAGTTTTGAAGTTTAGCACAAGGCTTTCACACATTATACTGGCATATCTTTGTGCTTAACTTAAAAACAAGAGGCCCAATGGGCCTGCATCGCTAGCCCATTAATAACCTGGTATTAATCTCACAATCGTAACCTTAAAAGTGGACTAAAATAAAGCTACAGTCAAAATGTCAGTGTCTTGACTAAAGTCATTCAGAAGAACCTGTTAAAAGATTTAAACACATTTGACCCCTGTGCCCTTGAAAGTCAAACACTGACATTAGATTTAACAAATTTTATAGCCTTTTCCCAGAATGCAACTTGTCAAATATCACCATCCTAATGGCCCTATACCTTTTGTTCACTGAAAAGATGACTTTTAAGATTTATGCATTGTGGACCATATGTGACTTTGAAAGTGTGTCAAGGTCATTCACATGAACAAGCAAGCAATCACCCTGGACGCTTTAGTTATTCAGAAGAAGTAATTGTTTTAGTGTTTTTAAGACAAATAACCCCTGTGATCTTCAATAAGGGCGAAGGTCCTTCATGCAGCATACTACTGGCAAAAAAAATAAACATACTAGGCCTCTTGGTTATTTATAAGAAATTGTTTGCCAGTTTCAACATATTTAACCTCTGTGACCTTGAATATAGGCGAAGGTCATTCATTTGAAAACACTTGGTAACCCTTTATCCCAGCATCGGGCCAGGTGAGCTAAAAATCGTCTCGAACGTTAATATTTATTTTTTTACATTTCACATGGGTGATGTACTTTATATAATCCAGTTTAGTTTTCTTTTCTTGTTAACACGCTTTCGTGTGGCTACTTAAACCTCCCAGAACTAAAAGGTGCTATTTGTCTTATTGTAATTATTTTTCAAATGGACTTTTGACAATATAAAAACGTGGTGATGTGGGCACACACTCTAACACCAACACACATCTACTCATGTTAATTAAGACGTGTCATCCTTATCATAATCTTCTAAACAAATATGTGGTGTTTTTTTAAAGAAACAAATCCATGCGCAGTTCATAATGATTGAGTTAATTGTAATGTTTCTGGAAAAATTAAGCATTGACGTGGAATCCAAAGTGTTGAGGACAAACGCTGTACATATATAAGTATGTGAGACGTGACATAAATGCACACGTGTGTTAGGGAAGTTTTCCTGTTTGTACGTTGACGACTCTTCCCTATCCCCGACTTGACGGAAACTCTTCTGTATTCCTGCGCATAAGCGGACAGACATCGCTAGGCGAGAGACATGATGTATGTCGAGGCTGCAGGTTGCTTGCTTCTGATAGCTGTGTTTGGTGAGTTTCTATTGATTTATGGTTTTTAAAAATGAAATTCAGTACTAGATTATATTATTTTTTTTAAAGTTTTGCAACGCTGTTTAGTACACGCCCATGACATGGCCATTCACAAATTTAAAAGGCAGAGGCTACATACACTTGAATGTGGTCGACCGGCTTCGAATTGAATTTCAGGAAAGTTGAGAGACACGAGAACACCATGGTAAACAAATTTTGACATTTGTTCAAAGTGTTAATGGTCATTCAGCAGGCAAGTTCGTGGGGTTCAGTTTTTTATCGATGCAAACAAACTAACCAGAAGCATATATCATTAATGAAAATGCACAGTCATATCATGCAGTGTATTTACTATTGTCACACAAATACACGTGTAGAAATATGTACACTCTTCCTTACTCTAGCTGGTGTATTATTGGGAATAAAACAGACAATTCAATCATGGGCTTTTATTTTTTACAATATCTTTGGTTGCTTAGTTGGTTGAGAGCCTTGCTGATAACAAGATTAAGATATAAACAAGCGATGATTTGGTAAACCGGTGTCGATGAATTTCAAAATGACGGTAGGAAACGGTTCACTTATTATAGTAGCTCTTTATTTAATTTGAAGGTTACTGGCTTTAATCATCCGTATTTTTAAAATGTTCAGAAATGTTTTATTAAAGTGACAGTTAAACACTTCCAGTAAACACGTATAGCTTTTAGAAGTGGTACGGGGATCCTTCATTTTTTTTTTTAAACAAAAACCTTATTTTCTCAGAATGCCAAAAACTAGTCGATATGGAGCTGTCGGGGTTAAGCAGCCCTTGATCCAGACTCCCGTACTCTCTGTTGTCCTCACGTTAGAGGTCATGCATACTCTATAATTCTCATATACCAATATTTCATCTGGCATCTTTCATTTTAATATATCTTTTCCCTTAATATTTCATCGTACCTTATCTTTCCCTACAATCTTGCACCGTACTTCTTTCATTCCCACATAGGCCTATCTCACGCCTTTCAACCGGAAATAACCTGTGTAATTAGTGTTTGACACGGAATGAGATTAGTGTTATTTATAAGTCCGTTGTTTATTTAAGATTAAATACAAACAAGAATGGTTCTACAGTATTTGCATCCTTATGTGAACAAGGAAATACCTTGTACATTGTGATATTGAGAAATGCATCTTAATATCAATCATCAAACTACGCATTACTCACAATCAAGTCGTAAAATTGGCGGTAAAATCTGACGTTGCATGCTTTATGACGTCATAATAAAGCCTGATTCCAATAGTGGCCGAACTTACCCGAATGCCTGTCCGAACTAACCACATGGCGGGGCTCGTTCGGCCATCCGATCTTCCGACCGGATAGTTAAATAATGTTCAAAAACGGACGTGCTGCCATACTTCCTAGAACGGACTTTAATAAACTTGCCCCGGTCTCATTAGAGCTTGTGTTTTATTGTTATTCCTCGACTAGCCGACTTTAAATAAAGTTTATCGTATCTCATTCTGAAAGTTGTATTCTTAATCAGTAAATATCAGAGATCAACAAAAGCTACGCTCTTTTAAGGCTTTGCCTTTTCTATTAGTATCGAAGTTCGTACCACACAACCCTTAATACTACGACCTTAAACCTTCCCGGCTGATGACGTGTTTGTTCCGAGTGGTGTAATCCGTAATGGCTTATCTCTGACCTGGCCTCAGGATCATGAAATAATCTTATAAATTCAATAAAGATTTCAAATATCCATGAAATAAATAGTTATCTAGAAATTTAACTTGGTGAAACACATGTATATACACGTACATAAGTAAAATAATATTATGATTGGGATATTGAACATTTAAAAAAATGTTGAAGCGTGAAAGCTTTCAAGGCCCGAGGTCAAGACCTGAGATATCTCTCCATGTAAGCGTTTCCGGGATGACTTCATAGCACTAAGCACCACTCAAAGTGTCTCCGTGGGCCGGAGGTTTACCATCGAACAAGACTTCCTGAAATTTTAGTCTGAACTTAATGGCAATTTGAAACATCATACTTTATACCTTATTTCATCTGGTAAATACATATATTTATATATGCGTCTTTATGGTCAGACGGACATCAGCGAACCGTCTGTTTCCGGTTAGATTATTACTAAACTTACAAGTCTCCCTATAGCATACATAGCATACATCCGTCGGGAAAGGAATGTAGCAAACAAAAAGTATGCAAGAGAAAGAATAGATCCAAAAGCGACAATCTTGCACTCGAGTTAAAGTTCCCCCTCTATATTACACATTGCGATAAAGTATAAATGTCATCTCACTTTGGAGAGATGCATCCATTCTTTTAATTTAAGGGGGNCACGTTAGGTGCTGGACACACTAATGTCTAATAGTAATATGATGTGTACATGTATATATTCTAAAATATACTAATAAAAGTATTATATAGTATATACACATCATATTGCTATTAGTGTGTATAGCACATGTAGTCAGGTGTAGATGATTGTAAGCTGCACACGTTGAACCGGAAGTAACCCGTGTAATTTAAATTTGTTTTTGGCATGGAATGAGATTAGGGCTATCTATCTTATGTGAACAAGGAAATATATGTTGTACATTGTGATATTGAGAAATGTATTTTAATATCAATCATCAAACTTAACTACGCATTACTCACAATCAAAAGGAAAGACATGTAAAAATATATGAAATATTTGTTTCGCAACGTATACATTATTTAAAGATAATTTGGAAGTAAATATTCAGTATCGAAACCCCGACGTTGGATGTCGGTATAGTTTAACAACATATGACATAATCGTGATGCACGGTAGTTTATATATATAGTGGTAGGACGCCGGGCTCGTGACCGAATGGTTGCGGGTTCGAGTCACGGCACGGCACTTTGTTGTAGCTTTAAGCAAGATATTTTTCTCTGCTTGTTCCAGTCTACTCAGCTGTGAATGAGTACGTATATACGTGGCTGCGGCAGTGCTAGAATTGTTAAATGCTAGCTGTGAGCGCCGAAATGGCAGCACCGGCTGTATGCTCCCCAGGGAGTTGAGAAAGATATTGGCTGGTTGCAAAGGCCCTATAACCACGGATAATAATTTGTGAACCGCTTTTAGACGACCTACGAACTAGGTTGTGATAAAGCGATGTATAAGAACCTCGAATTATTATTAGGATTGTTGTTATTAAAAGCTAAGTTGTAATAAGATTTATATATATTTATATATATATATATCGAATGCCGCCGTGACTATTCTCCATAAGTATTTGTATCGAAGATTTAAAAGAAAGTGTGGTTAGGTATACATGTAGCAAACACTAGTGAAAGAAAGTGCTTTCTTTTATAAAAGCACTGGATAAAGTCTTGAGTGTAATCAGCCCAACAGAACTCAAAATATAAGTAGTGCATTTTATAAACTGACAATTGGTTTGAAAACATTATCAAGCCATACAGAAAGACTTCAAAGGATGTACTCTATTAGGTGATATATGTCCTCGCAACAGCCAGGGTCATATGAGGACGGGTGTCAAGGAGACACCTACAGGAGAAAACTACAATTCGAAGGCACGTGCATCCATACAATTAAAGGGTGTCATTTTGAAAAGAAAAGCATTATGCTTTCAGTTGCCTGTTGGTTGGTTGAGGGAGCTTAGCGTCCACACAACATCTGAGGTCATATGTGGACGATATCATGAGTGCATGATACGTATTGTGTGTACCTATGTGTTGCTTCCAGCAATAAATAGAATTTGACATGAGGATCGAACTCGAACTGTAATCCATCATTCAAGAAAAAGTCAAGCATCAAGTTACGTATTGATGTGGCAAGTGGTCGCGAAAAAAAAAATCAGTTACTAATAAGAATGTCCTATGTGCAAAGGGCTATAACTCCAGGAAAAATAGAACATTGACACTGGATTCTAACCCAAACTGTAATCCATTATACATGTATACTAAGTTACAAATGGATTATTAATACATGGTTCAAACACTGTAATCTATTATGATAAAGCCACAAACAAAGTTTTAAATTGATTTGGCAAGCGGTAGCGAAAATCATTAAAAAATGAAAGTTAATTTTGATAATTTCCTGTGTGCAAAGGGCCATAACTCCAGCAACAAATAAAATATTGACACTGGGTTTGGACTCTTAACTGTAATCCATTATGATAAAGCCACATACTAAGTGGCAAGCGGCAATGAACAAAGTATGGCAAACAGTTAACTATGAGAAATTCCAATGGGCAAAGGGCCATACATGTAACTCCAGCAAAATAAAAAAAAATAAAAAATGGCACGTGGTTCGAATTTGATCTGTAATCTATTATGATTAAGCCACATACAAAGTCACAAATTGATATGGTAAATAGTGGCGAAAAATTCTGGAAAACTTAAATTTGACTGCCGCCGCCAACGACAACGTGTGATGACGGACAGGGTGATCCTTAAGTGTCCGCCATGCTTCTCAGGCGGCACGACAAAGCACAGAGAGGCAGAACAGTGAAGAAGGAAAGGAAAGATTTAAGATCCCAAGTGTGTTATTGCAATGGGGGCAGAAGATCTATTTTGGTCTGTTCGAAGTCCTCCGAGCAGTAGACATGAAAGAAAATCCCCGATTCTTCAGGTACCACCTTTAAGCCCCCCCCCCTCCCATGTACATTGTATGTAAACTATGGTTTGACGGATTCGATGACTCGAGTAGAAAATTGTTTGAATCATGTAAACTTGAAAAAGAAAGTGAAGGGACATAACTCTTCACGTAGACTCCAATTTAAGTAATTTGTGCTGATCTGACAGATCTGTCAATTCAAGATCTATCTGTATACAAAATTCAAGAAGAATTACACATTATTATATGTTTGGCATGTCTGAAATTGTCTGACATTGTCAGTATGGTAAGTTTAAAGCAAAACTTCAAAACTAACCAAAATTTCTGGATATTTTTTTCCAAAAACAACGGCAAAATAAATCTACATTTTAAAGAAAGTGGTAGCTATGGGAG